TTAGTTCAACAATTAGAAAGTTGGAACACTTTGTGATGCAATTTTGCCCTACCCCAAAAATATATCTTGAATGCATTTTTTTTTTGTTTACATATTTAATTGTCAATGGCATAATAATACAGAAGTGGGTATTTTGGAACCTGCTTTGCTACCTAATTTTAGAATACAGAAAGAGCGTGAGCATAATGAAAGAAATGCTATCTGCATCACAGAAGTGCTATTACGTGCTAATATACAGCATCTCATACAGAATTTAGTAGGAATGGAAGAAAGTCCTCATGGTAGAAACACAAAACCCCACTGCTGATCCTTTTCAGGAATAAGAGTTGGGGGTAAGAATGGTCTAATTCCTACCATTTCCTAGCAAATTAAAGAGATCCTAGTAATTTTGTTTAGATGGTACACATGTATCTGTTGCTACTCTTTGCCCAAAAAATAAAGAACTATGATGCATGATCCCAGTGGTAAAGACAATGATGACGACAGCAAAAGTTACATTAACCTTACTTTTTACTAGTGAATTATTCATACACATGAGGAAGGCACAAGATTTAGCAAAGGTAATTCCAATTGGATGTAAGGAAAAAAATTCACAGTGAGGACTGCCAAACGCTGAGACTGGTTGCCCAGAGAGGTTGTAGGAAAGCCATCCTTAGAGATACTCCATGCTTGCTGGGACAAGGCCCTGAGCAATCTAATTTAACTTTCAAGTTGGTCCTGCTTTGAATGGGGGTGTGGGCTGGGTGGTGTTCAAAGGTTCCATCCGGCTTAAATTAGTGTATGATTCTGTTCTAATTACTGTTCCTTTGGGTAGGGAATGCAACACTGGAAACAGAAGATCCAAAAGAGGTTATATTTGGTATGTTTTCTTACCTGAGTAAATATGCCGTAATTTCAAGTAAGCTCTCAAGATGTAAGAGTCACAACTGTCAGAATAAAATGGCATTTCCATCAGAATGTCTACAGATTCCGTGTTCAGTGAAGATGAATGCTGAGGCTTTCCTCTAAATATCATTCAGATTGCTCCACAATGCCTATTACAAATGTAGGCATTTTTTTCCTAATTTTTTTTTCTATTATTTCCCCAGTCCAGATGGATTCCAGTAATTCTGCTGTTTACAAAATGCAAGTAGCTCTTAGGATAACTGGAGGATAGTTGGAGACTTGCCTAGAATAGAATCCAGTGCGTCTCTACAGGGATGTAAGGTTGTGCTCATGTGGATCTACTTGCAGAATTGGAATCACTTGCTCATTGCAAATGTTACTGACAGCTTGGCTGTACTGACCAATGTATTTTCTCTTTGGAGTTTACTTGAGAACTGACATCAAATATTGACATTATTTTTAAATATCGCAGTTGCGCTAGTGAGTAAAATTAATGAAATGCCTGGAGTTCACAAGTTCTTATGTCTCCTGGCTGTTCCTTTAAAAAGATGTGTTCTGTTCTTACCAAATGTGAAGAATTACTCTGTCTTACATTGGCATGATTTAGTAGTTTTTCTGGGATTTCAGTATATCACTCCTCTACTGTGGCAATGCTTAGGAAGCAATCTTTATTTTCTGTATGTTAGACTATCTCACATATGTAAGGATGGACTTAAATTAAAAAAAAAAAAAGTTCTATTAGAGGACACTCCATGTCTGTGATTGCTGAATACAACTCAGTCAAGTCAGATGTTTAAGAAACATGGAAAAATTAGAGCAGTTGTATTTTTGTCATTGAGTTGAGGGCCATAATCATCCTCTTTTTATACCATGTTTTTGCTGTCGGTAATACAGGACATATATTTATATTTAGCACTAGCTCAATTTATTTAATTCTGTGCTTCTAATAAAAATGACTGCTTTGTTTGATTCAAACAATTCATCTTTGTTAAAAAAGAAGGATCTACTTTTTAACTGTTGTAAGTAAATCCACATGCTCACGTAAGTTATTTGGCCCTGTATTTTTAAATATACCTGTTGTATCCGGTGCTGAGAGTTAACTACCTTTGAAATGACAACAAATTCATAAGCATTTATTAATGTAATTTTCTTCTTCATGGTATGAAGTAGAAATAATCATTTAAAGATTTTTATTATACTACTTTCCTCAGATAAGAATGAAATGAAAGCTTTCTTTGGACTGCTTATTTGTTCTTTATGCTGTGGTCTTAAAAGGTGCTGAATGCCTCAACCTTCAGTGTGTTCAGTGAGAATTAAAAGAGCATTCACCATCTCACAGAGAGCTTGCCATCAGTAGGACCAAGCTTCTGAATTGTAGAGAGATAAGGCAAGAATTTTTTCATATACACTGTCATTTACCTGACATGTGACTGGTACTCCTTAGAAGAAGGCTTTTAGTATGGCTTTTGGGAATCTATACCATTTGTGCCTGTATGTAATTACTACAATTGCTGTTTGATTATTACTATATGAGCTAGACAGTAAAATAACGCTGTAACTGTCTTTAGTGTGCTTGAGTAGAACATTGTGTATACATTGTTGTGTAAACACAAGCCTAGCTGATAAATTTGTTTAGAAAATATGTTTTTTTTTCAATAGGGAGATTTGATAAACTAAGTTCTAAAATCCACAAAATTGGAATCCAAATCTTACAAGTTTCAGTCATTTTGAAACAGCTGGGAAGGCGTCAGCAGTTGCTTGTTTTAAATGCATGTACGTCAATTTAATAATTCAGTACCATTCTTAGTCAGTATTTTCAGCAGGGTCACTCTCATACTCATTCTGAAAAATGTCAACTTCTGCTAAATTGACAAAAATGTGACTACTAATTAAAATATTCAGTAGCATTTTAATTTATATGAACAAGAATTTATCTTCACTATCCTAGGAATACATTTCATAAGCTGTGCTTTCAAAGGAGTAACATTCATTTAAAAAATGCTACTTGTCAGAAGTACAGTGCTTTCTGCAATTTCCACTTTCAAGTATGTGCATCCTCAGTGTCTTAATTTCATTTCAGCATTATTTAAAGAAAAAAATAGCATCATAGTTTGTGAGGATGACAAATTTTCAAAATTAAAAAATTCCCAAATGGGAATTGTTGGCTATCCAGCATGTAAGAGAAATAGCTTTAGCAAACTGGGTCTTACGCTTCTTTTTTTCACATCCCTAAAGAAAAGAATGATTGAAAGTATTAATATATTTTACATATTATTCTTTATAGTTTACTCAATAATTAAATTGAGAATACTTTCCTGTAGTGTATTTCTTTTCATCATATATTCTGTGTTGTATCTTCTAGAATTCAGTATTCTCTAATGTACTCTTGGCAGAGTATGCTTTACGGTATCATAATGGCAAACAGTGGTTTACAGTGGAAGGCCAAAACCATCAAAATACAACTTTTTGTTAAACTATAGCACATGCTTCTTCTTCACAAGGTTCTTAGCTTCATGAACTCTTGTTCATGTTGTGGGATTTCATCTCAAGATGAAAACTTTATTAGGAAAAATTATTTGCATTCTGTTGAATTACTGTATTTCAGGTTTATCATGGCTCCACTATTGAACTGTAAGTTTAATTACAAAAGTTTTTAATGCATCTGACTCAGCCCTGCAATTGAATTTATGTTCATGGAGAGGTACTGGAGGGTTAACTACTCCAGAAGCAGGAACAGGTGGCAGGAGCGGGCCACAGTCATTACAGCCTGCACATACTCAGGATGCAAGGGGGACAGAACGGGAGGGCCAATGCAAAATGAGTATTTCCAATACAGAATGGAAAAGCAAGGACCTAGCGCATAACCGTTACTGTGGCTGTACTGCAGTTAATATAGGAAATGCCTCACCCCATTTGTTCTTAAATAACTTTAAAAGAAATTTTCTAGAAAATGCAACTGAAAAAATGCCATAAAGGCAGCTTTGGCTTTATGAATAATTTCCTGGTAATATTGTGTTTCTATCAAGAGGGAGCGAAGAGCATCCCTATTTGACCAGGGAGACCGCTTCCATTCAGGCTGAGGGCTTCCCCCCGGGCAGCCCTGCTCCGGGCGAGCCCACCTCTGTTTACGGCGCTTGGGCCTAACTTGCTCCACTTGCTCTGGGAGGCTCGGGG